ATCGGGTGGTCAGGCTCGCTGACTTGGTTGATACATGTCATCGATCCCAATTGCACGGATCGATGCTCATGATGTCAATGACTTGATTGTCTGGTCCAGACTCTATTATTTACAGACCGCCGTCATATAGCTGGAATATTGCTGAGTGCGGCGTTAAAGTACAAACAAACAAACAAACTAATAAATCCTTCAAGCCCAGCGTACTTGGAATGCTGTAGTGTTTCAAACGAACTGTGTCAGTGGCATGCCTTGTGATGTATCAGTTGAACAGGGGCTCTAGCTCATATACAAGGGGGCATGTATATAATCAGATACCAACATGTCTCGGTGTAGGTCAGGCACACTGATAACATCAAAGGAAAAGTAGTTTGCTTGTTGTTTGTGGAGTGGCCTTGCTGCCCTTCCGTGCTAATATTTCCTGAGGATTTACTGGTTTCATTCAACATTGATAAGGTTTAATATGTTTGTTTCCCTCTACTTCATGGGAACCAGGGCCCAGTTCCTCAAAGCAGTCTTAGCGCTAAGATGCTTGTAACTCCCAAACTTTAACGTAGGTTTACAATAGTCATAGCACCAAGATGATCGTAACTCCCATTCTTTAACATAGGTTTACAATAGTCATAGCACTTAAGATGATCGTAACCCCATACTTAACATAGGTTTACAATAGTCGTTGCACTAAGATGATCGTAACTCCCATACTTTAACATAGGTTTACAATAGTCATAGCACTAAAATGATCGTAACTCCCATACTTTAACATAGGTTCACAATAGTCGTAGCGCTAAGATGATCGTAACTCCATACTTTAACATAGGTTTACAATAGTCATAGCACCAAGATGATCATAACTCCCATACTTTAACATAGGTTTACAATAGTCATAGCACTAAAATGATCGTAACTCCCATACTTTAACATAGGTTTACAATAGTCGTTGCACTAAAATGATCGTAACTCCCATACTTTAACATAGGTTTACAATAGTCATAGCGCTAAGATGATCGTAACTCCATACTTTAACATAGGATTACAATAGTCATAGCACTTAAGATGATCATAACTCCATACTTTAACATAGGTTTACAATAGTCGTAGCACTTAAGATGATCGTAATTCCCATACTTTAACATAGGTTTACAATAGTCGTAGCACTTAAGATGATCGTAATTCCCATACTTTAACATAGGTTTACAATAGTCATAGCACTTAAGATGATCATAACTCCCATACTTTAACATATGTTTATAATGGTCGTAGCACTAAGATGATCGTAACTCCCATACTTCAACATCACAGGTGATGTGTTCATGAGCATCGGTTCACACAGCATAACAGTATGCATAAAAACAATTTGTGATATACTTTATGGCTAAACATGCTGGCTTGAGACTCTGCATGAATGAAAAAAATCTCAATTGAGAATTCATTTTCTTCTACATACCTGATTTTCACCATGTTTGAATTACGGTCGGCAGATAAACCAAGTAATCAGAAAATCCCGCCTGATTGGCCTGCTTGCATGACCACAAGAAGGAATATTTATTTCATGCAATTCTTTCTGTGGTCAGGACATCTAACTACTGGTACCAAGGGCCTGAAACATCTAATCATGCTTCAGACTGTTGGAGAATTGTCTGCCCCCCAAAATACATTGTTGCAAGATGTTTTGAACATAATTTTATTAAGGCTTAAAGTTTTATTTAAAGCAATATATCTGCCCTGAGACTGCCTCAGTGGTTTAGTTGGTAGGGCATCTGCTCGGACACTGCCTCCATGGTTTAGTAGATAGAGCATCTGCCAGGAGACTGCCACCATGGTTTAGTAGATAGAGCATCAGCCCCGAGACTGCCTCTTTGCTTTAGTGGATAGAGCATCTGCCCGGAGACTGCCTCCATGGTTTAGTAGATAGAACATCTGCCAGGAGACAGCCTCCTTGGTTTAGTTGGTAGAGCATCTGCCAGGAGACTGCCTCCATGGTTTAGTAGATAGAGCATCTACCAGGAGACCGCCTCCATGGTTTAGTAGATAGAGCATCTGCCAGGAGACCGCCTCCATGGTTTAGTAGATAGAGCATCTGCCTGGAGACTGCCTCCTTGGTTTAGTAGATAGAGCATCTGCCAGGAGACAGCCTCCTTGGTTTAGTTGGTAGAGCATCTGCCAGGAGACTGCCTCCATGGTTTAGTAGATAGAGCATCTACCAGGAGACCGCCTCCATGGTTTAGTAGATAGAGCATCTGCCAGGAGACCACCTCCATGGTTTAGTAGATAGAGCATCTGCCAGGAGAAGGCCTCCTTGGTTTAGTTGGTAGAGCTTCTGCCAGGAGACCGCCTCCATGGTTTAGTTGGTAGAGCATCTGCCAGGAGACCGCCTCCTTGGTTTAGTTGGTAGAGCATCTGCCAGGAGACCACCTCCATGTTTAGTAGATAGAGCATCTACCAGGAGACCGCCTCCATGGTTTAGTAGATAGAGCATCTGCCTGGAGACTGCCTCCTTGGTTTAGTAGATAGAGCATCTGCCAGGAGAAGGCCTCCTTGGTTTAGTTGGTAGAGCATCTGCCAGGAGACCGCCTCCATGGTTTAGTTGGTAGAGCATCTGCCAGGAGACCGCCTCCTTGGTTTAGTTGGTAGAGCATCTGCCAGGAGACCACCTCCATGTTTAGTAGATAGAGCATCTGCCCGGAGACTGCCTCCATGTTTAGTAGATAGAGCATCTGCCAGGAGACTGCCTCCATGTTTAGTAGATAGAGCATCTGCCCGGAGACTGCCTCCATGTTTAGTAGATAGAGCATCTGCCAGGAGACTGCCTCCATGGTTTAGTAGATAGGGCATCTGCCAGGAGACAGCCTCCTTGGTTTAGTTGGTAGAGCATCTGCCAGGAGACCGCCTCCATGGTTTAGTAGATAGAGCATCTACCAGGAGACCGCCTCCATGGTTTAGTTGGTAGAGCATCTGCCAGGAGACCGCCTCCATGGTTTAGTAGATAGAGCGTCTGCCCATCTGCCCAGAGACAGTTTTAATTAAAGCAATATATATATATATATATATATATATATATATATATATACTACCCATCAAAAGTTTAGACTCACCAGTGTAAATGTAGCCTCCATGGTTTAGTAGATAGAGCATCTGCCCATCTGCCCAGAGACAGTTTTAATTAAAGCAATGTATATATATATATATATATATATATATATATATATATATATATACTACCCATCAAAAGTTTAGACTCACCAGTGTAAATGTAGCCACTCACTATACTCAACTGTTTCAAACCAGATAATGCCAAATATTCTAAACTTTTTACAGGTACTGTTAACACATGAACTGTTGTGGCGTAAAACCAAATCTGTAACGGTGAAAAGATTAGAGTTTTTCGTTCATTAATTGATAAAACTCTGTGAAATGTCGCACATTTTTAAACAAAATTCGCACCAAAACGCAGGTGTTCACATGCACGATAATGCATGTGTCTTAGCAGCAATTTGACGCGGGATACTCGTGCAATTCATCTTTATAAGGATTGCAGTTGGCTCCTCTGAGTTAGTGGAGAAATTCTTCTTTGATGCAAGCATGGGTAGAGGGAGAAGTCTCCGTATTGAGCAACGACACCAAGCCTTGGCACTGCTGCAAGATGGCAGATCACAACGGTATGTTGCCAGACGTCTTGGCGTATCCCAATAGGCAGTTTCCAACCTCTGGGTACGCTTTCAACAGACCAACTCCATCCAGGATCGACCCAGGTCGGGTAGGTCAAGGGTAACATCACAGCAAGATGACCGATGCGTCTTTTTGCTGTTTCTCAGGGGCAGAAACATTACAGCCACAGCAGCCAATAATGCTTTCCAACAAGCTACGGGACGACGTGTATCTGTATCAACAATACGCCGCCGATTACGTCACTACGGACTGCGGGCACGTCGTCTAGCTGTAAGACCCCCTCTTACACCACGCCACCGTCAGAACAGACTGAATTGGGGAAATGGACATTTACGCTGGGGTCCCCGCAGATGGGCAAGGGTACTCTTCTCTGACGAATCAAGGTTCAATCTGCATTTCAACGATGGTCGGATCCAAGTCTACAGACGTCAGGGAGAGCGGTACGCTGACGTTGCTGTTGTTGAGCATGATCAATTTGGAGGTGGATCCGTTATCGTCTGGGGAGGTATCACCCTGACTGGAAGAACTGATTTACTGGTACAGGATGGGAATCTGACTGGCCAGAGATACAGGGACGAGATCATCATTCCTATTGTGCTTCCATTCGTAAGGGCCATGCCAGGTCACGCGGTTTTCCAAGATGATTATGCCAGGCCTCACAGAGCTCGCATCGTGTCAGCTTGTTTACAACAAAATGGGGTGAATCGAATGGATTAGCGAGCATTATCGCCCGATATGAACCCCACTGAGCATGTTTGGGATCTGCTGTGCCGGCGTGTTTATGCCAGAGTTCCTCCCCCTTGCTAACCTTCGCCAACTTCGCAATGCATTGTTTGAGGAGTGGCAAACATTCCCCAGCGGCAGATTGAACTGTTCTTTCGTGGTATGCAACGTCGATGCAATGTCTGTGTTAGAGCCAGGAGTGGTCATACCCGTTATTAAATTTTGCAATTTCACTTTTGTATGGTACTAGCCAATACGGCATTCTGGTTCACTAATCATCAATGCACACGTCCTTGTGAACAAGGATATGAAGACCTAAATGAATGATTTTGTTATTTTGTATTGGTAGCTTTCACAAATACGATTTTCTTACGAGATATAGTGAGTGGTTTCAGTGAGTCTAAACTTTTGATGGGTAGTGTATATATATATATATATATATACAGCTGTAGCAAAATAGCAGTCATCCCCTCCCCCCTTCTCTCTCCTCTCCTCCTCCCTTCAACAAATATCAGTTGGTTGCAGTCTCTAATTGATCATCAGAAGGTCACTGTCAATGAACTGTAACCATGGAAGCTTCTCCAGTAATGATTTCTATGTTTGTTTTACAGGCGCATAACCACAACCACATGGACATGTCAACCATGAAACCAGGCATGGGCGACATGATGAACATGAACATGAGCAACGCCAACTGCATGATGATGGTAGGTCGTGATGGACAGCACACACACTTTGTTCGTCTGTTGATTTACACCACATTCAGAAATATTTCAGCTTTATTATGGTAGTTTGTTAATGATCAAGTCTGGACCAGACAATTCAGTGATTGACATCATCATGAGCACCGATTTACACATTTGGGATACGATGACATGAGTATGAAAAATATTTTATTCATTGTTATCATGTTTGTGACCATTGACAAGGCCGTGTAGTGGGGAGTAAGGACATGTATCACAACAATAATGTGTGCAGAGCTCCAGATAAGCTTTTGGTGCTGTGGGTATTTTACCCATGCATTTTAAAATCATTGGGTATCAGTAATTCTATCTGGGTATTCAAATTTCTTTTACCCACTAGTTTTTAAACATGTGGGTATTTAAGTTAAATATTTAAAAATACTATTCATCTAGTCCCTGCAAACTGGTGTCTTGTGGGTTCGAGAGCTTTATAGGACTCAAAAATACCACGATTCTTCCACAAGAAAGTGTGATGGCAAATGATCATGATCATGAGTTTGGCAAGGTTGACAGAATGCCCGTTTATAATTTCAAAATAAATTGCAGATTTGCTAATCGAATACGCAGGGTTACTTCACAATATTTTGATGATACGCACAAGTTTTATTTTGTAGGGTATCAGTAATGTTTGTTGCATATTTTGTACGCTTGGATTTTATTTTACTGCGTATTTCTGCATTTCTGATGCGTATTTTACGCAGATACACAGCTTATCTGGAGCTCTGGTGTGTCAAATGATGCTTCACATGATGTGGGGCGGTTGAGTAGCCTAGTGGTTAAAGCGTTCGCTCGTCACACCGAAGACCCGGGTTTGATTCCCGACATGGGTACAATGTGTGAAGCCCATTTCTGGTGTTCCCCGCCGTGATATTGCTGGAATATTGCTAAAAGCGGCTTAAAATCAAACTCACTCACTCACTGACTCTCATGATGCATGATGGGAAGGAGAGAAGACCTGGTGTCAAGAGAGCATTCGTGTTAAATATGCTTAGTAGCTAAATACTTAATAAAAAGCATCATAAAAATAATATGTGACCAACCAGGCGATAAGGGACCTTATGGGTGAAAAATCACATTTTGACTTCTTACTATATTTTAAAACTACTGTATATTGGGACCACAAAAATACCATAGATAAGCTTCAATTCATATTTATTACAGAGACACAATATTGGCATCAAACATTTGAACTCATTTTATGCAAATTCCCATTTTCAGACTTATGACTGTTTATGTAATAATTGCAGTTCTTTAGATATAATGACTGATTAATTGAAAGTAGACATGTATGTTGAAATGCTTTGAAATAAAGTTTTTCATTACATTAAGAACTAACGAGAGAAAAATACGGTACTTTTTTAGACCGCACACTTGGCAATTTTACGTAAGCAATTTGATGTCAAACGTCTTTCTTTATGACATCATGGCACACTTGTATCCTTACACCCATAAGGTCCCTTTTCTCCTGATGGGTCACATATTGCAAACTAACTATGTATTTACTGTGAAAAATATGATGAGTGTTCATTTTGGCGAGGATGTGACTGGATTGAAATGTTGTAAGTGATATTTCAGTGGGGCGCCAAATTGGACAATGTGTTGATGGACACAAAATACGAGTTGGTATCCAAGATCAAATCATTGAAATCAAGGATCGGACTGAAGCTGTGACAGGGGATTTCAGATACGACTGAATATATTGATGATGATGATGAAGATCACAATTATACGTCATTGAAGTAGTGTTTTCTAAGACTATGAATGTACTGTGCAGTTTAGAAAGTTGTCGCGACATTTCATGATTAAGTTGATTACTTATTTGCCTTTTTTTCTTTTTTGGGGGGAGTATACGAGTTACGATTGTCTTTGAGCTACGGCTGTCGTAAGTCTGTGTCTAAGTATGGGAGTTACGATCACCTTAGCCCTTTGGGAGTTACGATAGTCTTAGTACTACAGCTGTCGTAAGTCTATGTTGAAGTATGGGAGTTATGATTGTCTTAGCGCTATGGCCACCTTAAGTCTTTGTTGAAGAACGGGAGTTACAACAAGTCTTAGCACTACAGCTGTCGTAAGTCTATGTTGAAGTATGGGAGTTACGATCGTCTTTGCGCAACGGCTGTCATAAGTCTGTGTCTAAGTATGGGAGTTATAATCGCCTTAGCCCTTTGTGATTTACGATAGTCTTAGCACTACAGCTGTGGTAAGTCTATGTTGAAGTATGGGAGTTATGATTGTCTTAGCGCTACCGCCATCTTAAGTCTATGTTGAAGAATAGGAGTTACAATAGTCTTTGCGCAACGGCTGTCGTAAGTCTGTGTTGAAGTATGGGAGTTACGTTCGTCTTTTCCCAACGGCTGTCGTAAGTCTGTGTCTAAGTATGGGAGTTACGATCACCTTAGCCCTTTGGGAGTTCTGATAGTCTTAGCACTACAGCTGTCGTAAGTCTATGTTGAAGTATGGGAGTTATGATTGTCCTTGCGCAACGGCTGTCGTAAGTCTGTGTCTAAGTATGGGAGTTACGATCACCTTAGCCCTTTGGGAGTTACGATAGTCTTAGCACTACAGCTGTCGTAAGTCTATGTTGAAGTATGGGAGTTATGATTGTCTTAGCGCTACCGCCATCTTAAGTCTATGTTGAAGAATAGGAGTTACAATAGTCTTTGCGCAACGGCTGTCGTAAGTCTGTGTTGAAGTATGGGAGTTACGATCACCTTAGCCCTTTGGGAGTTACGATAGTCTTAGCACTACAGCTGTCATAAGTCTATGTTGAAGTATGGGAGTTATGATTGTCTTAGCGCTATGGCCATCTTAAGTCTATGTTAAAGTATGGGAGATACAACCGCCTTAGCCCTAAGATCACAATGAGGCCCTGGTGCAAAGTCGTCTTTGGTGATTTGCTTTGCACACAGGATCAGGGGATCGAATACCATACCTGTAATATCATTTTACAAAAGTGGTAAATGTCTGCTACTTTTGTCACTTTGGGCTTTCTTCCAACGTTTAGCTGACACACCTTCCTTTCAGTCCTTCCTTTCATTGATCCCCCATCATGACACTTTAGCTGTCTCAACTCCAGAAAGTTTAAGCCTTGAGTACGTGCCTTGTTCAATAGGGCCAGACGTCTTCTTTGGGGGGTTGATGGATTTTTTTGTGTGAAGTGACAGGTTAGCAGGTGGGATAGATAAAAGATATTGATTATTGTCTTTCTGTTTTATTTCAGATGTATTTCCATACAGGAACCTGTGAATATGTGTTGTTTGAGAAGATAGTTGTAAGCAATGCTGGACGTAAGTATAACCAAGTGTTTTAGTCAGGGAGAGGGGAGTCACATGGTGGCCTGGTTGTCTAAGGGTGCTGTGCAGAGTTATGTCCCTTAGATGTGACAGAATGTAGCTCCTGAGCATCTGCCTGGAGATGTCCTCCATGGTTAAGTGGAAAGATCATCTGCACAGAGACTGCCTCCATGGTTTAGTAGATGTAGCATCTGCCCGGAGACCGCCTCCATGTTTTAGTCACTGTTAGTGGATAGAGCGTCTGCCCGGAGACTGCCTCCATGGTTTAGTGGAGAGAGCATCTGCCAGGAGACGTCCTCCATGGTTTAGTGGATAGAGCATCTGCCCAGAGACGGCCTCCATAGTTTAGTGGAGAAAGCGTCTGCCCGGAGACCGCCTTCATTGTTTAGTGGATAGAGCATCTGACTGGAGACGTCCTCCATGGTTTAGTGGATAGAGCATCTGCCCGGAGACCGCCTTCATGGTTTAGTGGAGAGAGCATCCGACTGGAGACGTCCTCCATAGTTTAGTGGAGAAAGCGTCTGCCCGGAGACCGCCTTCATTGTTAAGTGGATAGAGCATCTGACTGGAGATGTCCTCCATGGTTTAGTGGATAGAGCATCTGCCCGGAGACCGCCTTCATGGTTTAGTGGATAGAGCATCTGACTGGAGACGTCCTCCATGGTTTAGTGGATAGAGCATCTGCCCGGAGACCGCCTCCATGGTTTAGTGATAGAGCATCTGCCCAGAGACATCCTCCATGGTTTAGTTGAGAGAGCGTCTGCCTGGAGGCCGCCTCCATGGTTTAGTGGAGAGAGCATCTGCCAGGAGACGTCCTCCATGGTTTAGTGGATAGAGTGTCTGCCCAGAGACGTCCTCCATAGTTTAGTGGAGAAAGCGTCTGCCTGGAGACCGCCTTCATGGTTTAGTGGATAGAGCATCTGACTGGAGACGTCCTCCATGGTTTAGTGGATAGAGCATCTGCCCGGAGACCGCCTCCATGGTTTAGTGATAGAGCATCTGCCCAGAGACATCCTCCATGGTTTAGTTGAGAGAGCGTCTGCCTGGAGGCCGCCTCCATGGTTTAGTGGAGAGAGCATCTGCCAGGAGACGTCCTCCATGGTTTAGTGGATAGAGTGTCTGCCCAGAGACGTCCTCCATAGTTTAGTGGAGAAAGCGTCTGCCTGGAGACCGCCTTCATGGTTTAGTGGATAGAGCATCTGACTGGAGACGTCCTCCATGGTTTAGTGGATAGAGCATCTGCCCGGTGACCGCCTCAATGGTTTAGTGATAGAGCATCTGCCCAGAGACATCCTCCATGGTTTAGTTGAGAGAGCGTCTGCCTGGAGGCCGTCTCCATGGTTTAGTGGATAGAGCATCTGCCCGGAGACCGGCTCCATGGTTTAGTGGAAAGAGCTTCTGCCAGGAGACCACCTCCATGGTTTAGTAGATAGAGCATCTGCCCGGAGACGTCCTCCATGGTTTAGTAGATAGAGCGTCTGCCCGGAGACCTCCTCCATGGTTTAGTGGAAAGAGCGTCTGCCCAGAGACCTCCTCCATAGTTTAGTGGATAGAGTGTCTGCCCGGAGACGGCCTCCATGGTTTAGTGGATAGAGCATCTAGTAGCTACAGCCCGCAGAGCAGAATGTTGTGAGTGCACCATCCTGAACGCAACCTTAAGCCCCATTTCACCTCTCCTGTACCAGAGTCAAATCATGATGGGTTTCAATCCAAGATTCATTTTGATTATGTTTCGTGTTTTTTTAAAAAAAAACCAAAACAACTAATAAAAGGAATTGTTGAAAATACTTTCATGACTCAGGCTGAAGAACATTTGAGCTTTTTCCTAGTACCCATCATTCAAACATGGATAGGTGTTTGTCTTGTTACAATGATTGACATTTCAGATGAAAAATGTATAAAAAAACACAGCTATTGATCTCCATTGTTCTGTCAAACTTATTCATATTTATGTGAAACAGTATATCGTCATACATATCATATGTAAGGTCTATCATAAACAAAGTATCGCAGTAAACACATCTGCTTCAGCGCTAATATTGACCTTGTCTCTAACAGCATGGTCTATTCATGTTTACAGCATCTTTGAAACACCACGGCACATCACACATGTGCATTTGACATAGTACAGACTGTGATAAGTTGGGACTCGCACAACATACAACACTAACACACATTTGGACTTATTCACCCTCTCTTGTTTTCGACAGAGATGGGCGGTGCTTGTGTCGTGATATTTTTCCTTGCCATGCTGTACGAGGGGCTGAAGTGTCTCAGAGAGTACCTCATCCAGAAGAACAATGTCGGGACAAAGTACTACAACACCACTCTCCCAGCCGGGTCATCGAAAGAAAATATGGTCATGGAATCGAAGGAAACTGTCCAGTAAGTAACCATGGTAACAGTACTATGAGGAACTACACAAAGACGAAGTAACCGTATTATGGTCTTGTAACCATTGTAGTAACAGTAAGTAACCATGGTAACAGTGCTATGAGGAACTACACAAAGACGAAGTAACCGTATTATGGTCTTGTAACCATTGTAGTAACAGTAAGTAACCATGGTAACAGTGCTATGAGGAACTACACAAAGACGAAGTAACCGTATTATAGTCTTGTAACCATTGTAGTAACAGTAAGTAACCATGGTAACAGTGCTTTGAGGAACTACACAAAGACGAGGTGACCCTATTATAGTCTTGTAACCATTGTAGTAACAGTAAGTAACCATGGTAACAGTGCTATGAGGAACTACACAAAGACGAAGTAACCCTATTATAGTCTTGTAGCCACTGTAGTAACAGTAAGTAACCATGGTAACAGTGCTATGAGGAACTACACAAAGACGAAGTAACCATATTATAGTCTTGTAACCATTGTAGTAACAGTAAGTAACCATGGTAACAGTGCTATGAGGAACTACAGAAAGACGAAGTGACCCTATTATAGTCTTGTAACCATTGTAGTAACAGTAAGTAACCATGGTAACAGTGCTATGAGGAACTACACAAAGACGAAGTAACCATATTATAGTCTTGTAACCATTGTAGTAACAGTAAGTAACCATGGTAACAGTGCTATGAGGAACTACAGAAAGACGCAGTGACCCTATTATAGTCTTGTAACCATTGTAGTAACAGTAAGTAACCATGGTAACAGTGCTATGAGGAACTACACAAAGACGAAGTAACCGTATTATAGTCTTGTAACCATTGTAGTAACAGTAAGTAACCATGGTAACAATGCTATGAGGAACTACACAAAGACGAAGTAACCGTATTATAGTCTTGTAACCATTGTAGTAACAGTAAGTAACCATGGTAACAATGCTATGAGGAACTACACAAAGACGAAGTAACCGTTTTATAGTCTTGTAACCATTGTAGTAACAGTAAGTAACCATGGTAACAGTGCTAAGAGGAACTACACAAAGACGAAGTAACCATATTATAGTCTTGTAACCATTGTAGTAACAGTAAGTAACCATGGTAACAATGCTATGAGGAACTACACAAAGACGAAGTAACCATATTATAGTCTTGTAACCATTGTAGTAACAGTAAGTAACCACGGTAAAAGTACTAAGAGGAACTACACAAAGACGAAGTAACCATATTATAGTCTTGTAACCATTGTAGTAACAGTAAGTAACCATGGTAACAGTGCTATGAGGAACTACACAAAGACGAAGTAACCGTATTATAGTCTTGTAACCATTGTAGTAACAGTAAGTAACCATGGTAACAGTGCTATGAGGAACTACACAAAGACGAAGAAACCGTATTATAGTCTTGTAACCATTGTAGTAACAGTAAGTAACCACGGTAGTATTGACATGAGAATCTTTGGAAACAGAAAGTAACAAGTAATATCTAGTAACCATTGTTGTGACAGTAAGTAACCATGGTAACAGTGGCATATTGATGTATGGAAATAGAAAGTAACAACAGTAACGCCTTGTAACTATGGAAACAGTAAGTAACCAGATTCTCACTTAGTCACCACATTTGGGGTTGGCGGGGGGCTCGTTTTGTGGCCAACGCTATTCAACTGTTTGCAGAGTTACTGAGGTATTTCTGTGATGAAACTAAGGACTACAACTGACAGGAATGAGTACCTCATTGTTTCAAATATGACCTGAAGCTGTACACCAATTTCATGCCAATATGAAAAACTGTTCGTATGACAACATATCCAAGCAATTAGCTAAGTCCAGTCCCACTTGGAGTCCAAGACTGTCCTTGTGCCCCCGTGGGGATTCCGGGTTGGAATAGATCCCAAGCAGCCTCTAAGTGCTGGGATGGATTGAACTCGGGTCCTCGGGTCGGATGGGTCCTGAGTAGGACCCAGGTTCTCACAAGACTACCCAGACCCATGGTTAGTCATGTGATATATTTTTTAAATACAGTAACAATAAAAGTCGCTTAAGTTTGCAGTTCTTTCTGACTATGCATGCATTGTTTCTGACTATCATACATTTGAGTAAAGATATACCTTCAGTCGACTTCAGCATGTTCAGTGTATGTGTGATCTGATCATTTTACACGCATATCTAAATGGTATTTGCCAGGGCTCCAGTAAAACTATTCCAAATCAGACATTATGTACCCAACTCTTGAGACCTACAGTGGATACCTGGGTAGGATCGGGTAATAGTGGGTTGAGTACCTGGGTTGTAAAGTTGGACTTTCCTACGACCTATGCTGGTTGTAAGACACAACCAAATAAATCAGGTGGTCAGGCTAGCCGACTGGGCTGACTGCATGCCATCGTACCCCGATGGCATAGAATGTTGCACCCAATATCAGTCACTGGATTGTTTGGCCTAGACTCTTTAATTTACAGACTGGTGGACGCGTGAAGATGCGGGGTAGAATAGGTCTTCAGCAACCCATGCTTGTCGGAAGAGGCGTCTAACAGGATCGGGTGGTCAGGCTCGCTGACTTGGTTGATGCATGTCATCGTATCCCAATTGCGTAGATCGATGCTCATGATGCCAATCACTGCATTGTCTGGCCCTGACTCGATTATCTACCGACAACAAACAAACAATTCCAATGAAGAATTGAGTAGTACGTCTTTGTTTTTCAGCGGGAAGATGTTGAGTGGCGGCCACTTCCTCCAAACAATCCTCCATATGGTGCAAGTGTTCGTCAGCTACTGTCTCATGCTGGTCTTCATGACATACAATGTCTGGCTGGGTCTTGCCGTCATTCTTGGAGCAGGAGCAGGCTATTTCTTTTTCGGCTGGAAAAGAGCAGTGGTCGTGGACATTAATGAACACTGTCATTAAAACTTACTGAATTATACACAATGTCAAGTATCCTGGGACTCCATTTTGTATATTTTGTCAAAGAAAACCTAAAACATCTACGTGACAAAATCTAAAGCTTGTATCAAAACTTGAGATTTTGAATCCAAAAGACTCGCATGAATTGTACAAATATTAATAGGTATTTTTATTTGTATTTTTTAAGGAACTGTTATATACTCACTGACAAAAGAAACGCTTACCATAGAAACATATAGAGATGCATGGACGTTAAGCATGTTAAGAAGAGATGTTTCTAACGTGTACCACTTCATGACAAAACAATCAGTCAAGTGTGACCACAGACTATCTTTGTTCATTAACGATTTCCAAACTTTACACACTAATCCTGCACGAGAATGGTGCATCTCGAGTCATGGATCTATGACGTCGCATGTGATGTGTTCATGAGCGTCGGTTCACACAACATACCAGTATGTTCATTTGTGCATCGAACCAATCTAATATCTCTTAAGTATGAGTAGAATCTAATTCTTCATATATTAACAAAGTTATGGTATTCACATTTCTTTTGTCTGTGAGAATATATGTGCAACATTAGATTGTAAAGATGTTTTGACCCTTTCTCTTGGGCTAGCCTGGTAGTTAGGTTGTTAGCTTGTCAATGTGCTCTATTTTCGTAGATTTTGAAAAATCTGCAATTTCATTTTGATAACTGAACCGCCGATAAATGCTGAAAATATGATACAACGACACTGTATGTTCTAAAAATGGCTGCAAGTACTAAGAAGGAATGAAACAGTATTTCAGTAATGATTGATTTCGAACAGTTGCAGACCATTGTTTTGGGATAATCAAATTTGCTTTTGGTATGCTGATATAAGCATGTCTTCAATTTTTGTTTGTTTAATCAAAAAAAGCAAAACATTTCATAATAAAAAAATAATGATATGGATTAATAGTAAGTCATGCTTCACACACACACCAAAAAAAACAACAACCCGCACACACACACACAATCACACACACACACACAATCACACACACACACGCACACAAAACACACACACACACATAAAACACACGCACACACACATATTAATAGGCAACACAAACTACTATAATGAACATTAAACATCCATGTCTTCATATACCATGAAGGTGCTAATTAATGTAAAGATGAAGTCTGCAAAGCAGTGATGTCATCTTTTACATTGTGTGAAATATATGTGAATGGTTCACTGATCGATGAAGTCAAGGCGATACAGATTTTCATATATAACGTTTAATTAGAGTTTGTGTTGTACCAATTGACTGATAGGTGCCACATATAGCTGTGCAGAGTTACCTTCCTTAGTGGCACCAGGATCAGCTGTCTTAGATGCGTATCCCTGACTATACCCCTTGGTCAGTCAGCCCATGCCCAAGCTCAGCGGTTTCACACAAGTGGTAAACATCTACAACTTACGTCTCATAAAGCAGGAATATTGCTGAGTGTGGCGCTAAGCAACACAATTAAACAAACAACTTGTGACACCCAGGGTTTTCCTTCACATTCACCAGACACATAAGGAAAACCCAGCCCAACTTATTTAGATGCAGGGGCTCAAATGACCCGGTCGTCTAAGGCGCTGAGTTGCCTCCCTTGCAACCTATGATCATGGGTTCGAATCCCATCTTTCTTGGTTTACAGTTTACACATCAAGTATTAAATGTCTGAGCTGTGCATCATGATGTACTTGGTGCACATTCATACATCTGAAGGAAGTTTTATACTGTATGTTTATAATAAGAACCAGGAATAATATTTCATTAATCTTTTGAATGGCACAATAGATCGGACTACTGCTAACAAAGTCGTCACGTGCTGGGGAGGATCTTGTGGGCCCATTTGCCAAGGGAGGCAACTCCAGTTACTTAAGGGAGGGAACTCCAGTTGCATAAGGGAGGGAACTCTGGACATTCAGTTATTGCATGGTGAGAGTGATAGAGTCAGCTCAAACTGACCCTGGATTTCATTGATGATGAAAATTATAATGATATAACATAATACCATATAGCCAGACAAAATGTAACACTTTACTTAAGGTATGCCAGTCATAATAATCCATTGTATAATTGTACAGAAGGTTCCACATAATGGCTTGGTTTGGTTTATGTTACAATCATGGTCAGCTTGACCACAGGATTCACTTACAAAAAACAACAACAACAACAACCAGTGTTGTGATTAAATATATATTGATACCACATTGAGCAAAGTGACTTTTTTATCATATTTGAGTTATGATATTCAGGAGCTGACCAGTTGCAACAATATATCAATAACCTGTAGAATAGATGTATCAGTGCTTTTTTGCATGTCAGCATTGAAATATTTTGTGGTCCATTAAATACAGGAAATTTTAGCAGATCAAAACTTCGAAACCAGATCAATTATTTTCTGGAGAATTTTTTTTTTTTAAATGTCGCTACACTAAATAAAGATTTTTTGCATGTTTGTTAAATGTTATTGCAAGAGTATATATTTCGGAGAATAATCTCAATCCTTTGAGAATTTATGAACTCGTGGTTAAAGTGTTTTCTTGTCACGCAACAGACCAGGGTTTGAGTTTGTTTGTTGAGTGTGTGGAGAAGGAGTGAGCCTAATTCTGGTACAGCGTAAAACAACATTCTCTCAAATTACCATCTTGCTTCAGAATCAGGAACAAATACTGCCAGCACAAGCTATGTTTTGTCCAGTGGAAGGTCATGAATATATTTGCATAACATTTTGTGTGTTCATAATATTGTCTTTCATGTTGATGTTTATTTCATAATTCTGATGTAGTTTACATTTTAACGAATATTTGTTAATTGTGTACATTACTTTTTCTTTGAAATGACATAAGTTGACCAAAGGATATTGATTTTATGATTTTATGAATATTACCTTTTTGTATGTTTTGCATTAATTTAGTTGAAGACATTTCTATAAAGTCTACAGAACGGGGAAGTGGGGTAGCCTATAGGTGAGGGTGTTCGCTTGTCACGTTGAAGGCCCGGGTTCAATTCCCCGCATGTGCACAATGTGTGAAACCCATCTCTGGTGTCCACTGCTGTGATATTGCTGAAATATATCTGAAAGCGGCGTAAGATTCAACTCCCTCACTCCTGTAACATACAATCCTGGGATAAAAGGAACCTTGAGAAGTTTCCTAAACAATCTTGAAATGTTTTACAGTTGGTGTAAATTGATTGACAGAAGTACAAAATATGCTGTTGAAAAGAACAAATTGTTATTATGATCCACATGAAAATGTCTGACAAGGCTTAAAAAATAGTAAGAATTGGTTCTCAGGCAATGACTTTTGAAATTATAGTGTGAGCGGGCGGTGGTTTTTGTTTTTGCTTGTTCAAACTAGTATGTAACCAAATAAACAGTTGTGTACCATCAACCTCGGAAAGGGCCTCCCTATATCACTATATAATAAGCATTCAACTCCTTTTACAACCATTACACGAGATGCACAGTAAAGCAGTGCTCTTGTAGAGGGAATAACTGCATGTTATACTGGATCGCGTTGTTTTTAAGTATAAGGAAAATGGAAAATGGAAATAAAAACGAAACATGCGACAGACTTTATGATGCGAGCGGTGCCTGAGAAACAAGACTATTATTCATTTTAGCCCAATGTTGGTACTACTTTAGTTTTGCTAGTTTCATACAATTGTGCAGATCATGTGGTCACAGAAACGGCCCATACTGCCCTTTGTGAACCTGAATATGTTTGTTTTTAACTTTTTGTGAATATTATCATGTGGATGTGTCAGGGTAATTAGCAAAAGCTATTGCAAACCTTTTTTAATCACTATGTAAATAGTAGTTTCATAACCATATAATTATCATGATTATCGTAAACAACTATTGTTACATAGTTTAGACATTTCTTGTTGTTCTCACATATTTTCAGGTGAACAATTTGCCTTTGCATGTGTTTGTGATGGCTTCTCTCACATTTCGGGAGCGCCTGGTTAAAAAAAACAAGCTCATGATGAAGTCGGAATTGTACAATGGAGATATTGTAGAGGTGTCTTATGGAAAGGATATTTGTCGCTTATATGCTCATGTGGACAATCATGCTTTACATTTCATTTAGGGCGGTCGGGTAGCCTAGTGGTTAAAGCGTTCGCTCTCCACGCCGAAGACCTGGGTTCGATTCCCGACATGGGTACAATGTGTGAAGCCCATTTCTGGTGTCCCCCGCCGTAATATTGCTGGAATATTGCTAAAAGCGGCGTAAAACCATACTCACTCACTCACTCAAATTTCATTTATCTTGGAAAAAAAGCAACTATGGAAGCCAGATGTAACAAAGTAAATAGTATATTTTTTACTGAATAATAGAGAATATTAGAAGTTTATGCACTGTTAGATCTGGACTAACCCTAACCCTAACCCTAACCCTAACCCTAAAGTTCCATTAGTTTCTGGGGCGGTCAGGTAGCCTAGTGGTTAAACCGTTTGCTCGTCACGCCGAAGACCCGGGCTCGATTCCCGACATATGTACAATGTGTGAAGCCCATTTCTGGTGTCCCCCTGCCGTGATGTTGCTGGAATATTGCTGAAAGCGGCGTAAAATCATACTCACTCACTCACCATTAGTTTCTTATCATGATGTGAAAAAATGTATCAGAGGACACTCTTTGGCCTTCTTAGTAGTTTTGAGTCAGTGGGGTAGCCTTGTGGTTAAAGTGTTTGCTCGTCACACCGAAGACCGGGTTCAATTTCCTACATGGGTGTAATGTCTGAAGGCGCTTCTTGGTGTCCCCACCATGATATTGCTGTAATATTGCTAAAAGCAGTGTAAAACCATACTCGCTCAGTTCAGTGTGTATCATTGATTCAATCCATAAAAGATAAGGTGAGTTTTATTCTATTTTGATGTCATTTGGGCGATTTTCTACAGGTTCTAAAGATATTTTATGTTTTAAAATTTATGTTTTATGTGAAATAAATTAAGTCATGACATAATATGTGTACATGTTGATACAGATAATTCATACAATGTGACATGAGTGAATGGTAATCAAAAAGATATTTTCAATAAAAGAATTATTTATCTAACTATGCTTTGTGTTATGTTCAGAAACATACCGTGAAACTGGTCCTTAACTTGAAAACCTGACCGCCTCTGTGGTCTTGTGGTAGAGTGTCCGGCCGGAGAGCGGAAGCTCCGGGCTTCGATCCCCAGCCGTGTCAAGCCAAAAGACGTTTAAAGATGGTACTTGTTGTCACCTTGTCTGGTGCTCGGCCATCTTCCCGAGGCAAAGGAGTTAACTGAGTATAAAAGTCCAGTTTCCACCTTTGCCGAACTAGGCTGGTATTATGGAGTTAATGCATAGTCCAATCAGAATCGCTCACCGAAATCAAAATCAGGTTCATAAACTGTCGTGCAGATTTCGATCGACTGCAGTATTTACAAAGCATGTGCACCGCCAACTCGTTGTCAACAGATATTATTCCAAATCTTTTCATGTTTTTAATCAAGGTGCTCACGTGATTTGATGCATTTCGCAATGAGGGGCGGTCGGGTAGCCTATAGTGGTTAAAGCGTTCGCTCGTCACACCGAAGACCCGTGTTCGATTCCCAACATGGGTACAATGTGTGAAGCCCATTTCTGGTGTGAAGCCCATTTCTGGTGTCCCCCGCCGGGATATTGCTGGAATATTGCTAAAAGCGGCATGAAGCCATACTCACTCACTCACTCACTCATTTCGCGATGTAAGACCCGTTTTATCACAATATAGATCTTGATTATCGATCAGATCGTCCTGACTGGGCGCCACCATTTTGTGTGAAGCAAACACAAGTGATACAAGAGTTGGAATCTTATTGGTCCATAGGAGAGGCTTAGAAGGGACATAACTGGTAATAGCCACTGGTGGCCCGACGATCGAGCCAAGTAATTCCAGCCTAGTTCGGCAAGGGTGGAAACTGGACTTTTAAAGTCAGTTAACTCTCTTGCCTCGGGAAGATGGCGCTCGGCATTAAGGGGCTAAATCGAGGACTGGTCGGCTCGGAGTCAGTATACTGTGTGTGGGTGTGGGTATACAGGTTAAACTGAGGCATGGTATCTAAGTGGGCTGGCACTATAGATTGGTATCAGTCCGAACAAGTACAAGCAGACAATCCAGTGATTAATAGCATGAACATCGATCCACGCAATTGGGATCGATGACATGCATCAACCAAGTCAGTGCGAGCCTGACCACCCAAACCCGTTAGACGCCTTTTACGGCATGCATGGGTTGCTGAAGACCTATTCTACCTCGGATCTTCACGGGTGGTCAGGCTCACTGACTTGGTGATGCATGTCATCATATCCCAGTTGTGTAGATTGATGCTCATGATGTCCTCACTAGATTGTCTGGACCAGACCGCCTTCAAGAGCAGGAATATTTCTGAGTGTTTCTTTTCACAGAAACAAACAAACAAATGTAAGGAGGTTTCACTGAATGTGCTTTGGTGTTTTGAAGCCTCCAAGCAATGAAAGGCATTGACAACCAGGCCCATCTTGCTCAAAGCATTGGCAGTGTCAAGACTGTTGTAAGGCTGTATTTAGGTATGGGAGATAAAGTAGGTTAAGTTCTCTCATCATTTTGTGCAAGTTGGCCCTGACCAGACAGTTAAAATTGTGAAGTGTCTGGAGTGTTTGGTCTTGAAGTATCAGGCTGGTACAGAAACTGGTTGCACATTGACAGTGTTCGAAATACCTGCCTGCCCAACCGTCCGAGACGGGTTGATTTCAACTCGGGCTGCCAGATTTTCAAATCCCCCTGCCCGACGGTCAGGTTATATTTCATATGTGACAATATTCTAAATATTTCCCAATGATAAGCATTAATTCACATGTAAAGATGAATGATAAAATGTAACCAAAAGAAACCCCGTTAGCTTATCCTGAGAAACATATGATTATAGTGGGCAGGCAGGTTTTGGTCAGGGCTGGCAAGTATTTCAGCTAGCCAGTCCTGCGGTCTGGCTGAAATTTTGGGGAGTTTCATACCCTGACATTGATCTCAAACTCTACTGCTGAGAGATGGCAAGAAAGTAAGTAGTAAGAGTGAGTGAGTGAGTGAGTATGGTTTTACCCTGCTTTTAGCAATATTCCAGCAATATCACGGCGGGGGACATGAGAAATGGGCTTCACACATTGTACCCATGTCAGGAATCAAACCCGGGTCTTCGGCATTACGATCAAACACTTTAACCACTAGGCTACCCGACCGCTACTGAAGACAGAGATCATATTTGATGACTAAAAATTAGCTGAGAGAATAAGGATAAGATCTCATACAAATTATTTGAACTCACATTCTTGGGTCACTTAACGTACACTGCTTGGGACCCAAGCTTCAATAGCATAATTGCACTGAGCTGAGATAATCAAGACTGCATGGGTATTCTCTGGATCAAGAACATTGTGAAACGTGATATTCTTATGGTGATGTCTGGTTATAAATTTAAAGCAGAAAGCTTTCTCAACATTGCTGACACATGTTGAAATGTTGAAGAACTTGTCAGTTTGGATTGAGCTCCAAAGAAGTGTCCCTAAACTCGGATAGAGCATTCGTCCTCCGGCTATTCTTTTGAACTCCATGGATGACCTAGGGTATGTCCAGGCTTCCCACACTGACAAGGCAGCTACAATGTTCCCACAAGAAGATGCTTTCAAGCAACACATGTTGAGAGCCATGTTTCAGACAACAATATGGCTGCCGATACATCACTCATCTCATCTGGAGTGACAGATCTGGACGGCCACATACTGAACACTGCACCTGCTCTGGTTACCAAAACTCTGCATATTAACCTGAAGGCTTGAGTGACAGTGGCAGTAACTAAATGAATCTTACTGTATTGGATTGAGTAAAATTTACCGTCACATCGGCAGTATCTCAGCCATATCGTGATGAAACAGTTATAATGATTATATTGAGAGTGTATAAAAAGCTGTCAACGATGGACAGTATAATAACTAGTGTATCACAGTTTCGAGTTTTAAAACTTGTTTAGAATATTTAAAAGAATACATTATCATTCAACAATACAATGTAAAAATGGGCTATAGATCACCAGCAACCAAAGTAAGGCCACCTTACTAGGGACAGTGGGGACTTACGATACTTCTGCTACCTGCACGGTTCCCCAGTACTGTATTGAAGAAAAAAACATGGATTTGTTAATGAGTTACTGACAATATTAAAGCAACTGCATATAAGTGCTTCACATTGACACTTCAAAGTAAGTCAATATGATCAGCAATTATAGTACATAACATCAGCGATAATTATCTTATATATGATAATAACAGGATAGATGTTGTTCCTGGTCAAAACCTAAATTGTGACATATAAATTTCTCATACATTCGATGTGAAAACAAACTATTGTCATTTTCCTGTATTGACGGCCATCTTGGAGGCCATTTTGTCCGCCATATTGGATAAGTCAAATTTCAACATGAACAAGAATGTTAGTTTTTCAAAAGGATAAGGGGTGGGATCACATTCAGTACATTTTCATACAACATATTATTCCTATCTTA